TTTTTGATGACTCTAACGAAAATACAAACTCAGAACAAAATAGAGTTCTCATCCGAATCAACTCGTGCTCCATTCAAATTATGGACCATGGCATTCAGAACAATCACTGTTCAGCCCGCGTAACTCGATCCAATTTTCAAACTGACTCACATTATTGTATTTTGACAATTTCTTGTCATTCGAAACGTCTTAAAATGAATGAAATACGTTCAAAAGTAAACGAAATCGTTATTTAGTTGTTAGCACGTTTGAAAACACAGTTTGATCAAGAAAACAAAAATAAACAATTGGCAAAAAAATGCGCACGTTCTAATTCTAGTGAGCGGCCTTATCGACAACGGCAACTAAGTTTCCCGAGAAAGAAAGGAAAAGAAAAAAGGGAAAAATAAAAAAGAACTCCCACACACATTCGAATTTTACTGAGCCGTTCTGTCACAAAGCACAGATCGAGACTGACGAGAGTTAAAATTACTTTTGAAAGATTTTGTAAACTATTGGAGCCTTAGGGTGGTAATTTTGGTTAGACTGCGGTTGAGTTTCAGTTTCTACGGCTAATGTGTCACAACCAAATGATAGTGTGAAATACAATGAGCTGCCAGCGGAAAATCACGAAAATCACTTGGACATAGGATAAGGGAGTAAATTAGACCAGAATTACGTTAACTGCAAAAGCTAGAACGCTTGCGAAAAAACAAAACAAAACAAATTAAAGCAGTGCAGAGCATGTAAAAAAAACTAAAGGTTGAAATTAATATATTGTCTTACAAATACAGCTGACTATGAGATCATGGCATGACGTTATGATGTTTCTTTTCCCTTTCAAAAATCATTGATAATTTTAGAATGATTTCTTTTCGTCTTCTGTCTTCCTGGGACTTTGAACTCCGTTCCTCAAAAGGTTTGAATCCACTTCCTTTAGATTGAGCCATTCCCGGTTCTGATTGTGAGGACTGTTAGTTTTAAAATAATTTAGTCATCACCTTTGTTGGCTCAGGCGGCAAAGCAAGTTACGTATCAGCATTTTAGCTAAGTATTCTGTTCATTAGAGGAAGTGTTTTTTTTTTTTTGTTATTGTAATAATGAAACATTGCACAAGTTTCGAAGATAAACCACCTCCTGAGCGCGTGAGTTTTCCGAGTCGCGGACGTAGTTAATTTCCCTTTGTTTTCCCCGTCCACGAATCAGATTATTAGGGAAAAACGAGGTACGGGAAAAGCAGCTACGTCACGGCATGAGGCATTTTCACCAAGACAGAGTTCCCAAAGGGCGTGCGGTAACCTTCACTTCGGATGCTGGTTTTTTGTTATGTGATTTTTTTTCTTTATGTTTTCACTCGTTAAATACACGAATAAAAGAAAAGATTCACCTTGCACAAGAAACTGAATACATGACGCAGCAATTAAATTTAACATTTTCTTTTGCATCATAGCAATCAGGGATCACTTTTAGGAAAATATTTGTTTCTGCCTACTGATGTCATCCGGTCTCGACCTTTCGTCTTACATTGCTTTAAATAGTTTTTTCTTTTTGTGACTCATAAGGAAAACATAAGTAATTTTTTTCACCTGTAACTCTTGATAAGGTTCAGATTCGGGGCTAAGCTATCATGTTAGTAATTTTTCTTATAATCGATTTTGATGACTCTGACGAAAATACAAATTAACTCAAATCAAAATGGAATTTTCATCCGAATCAACGCGTGCTTTAAGCAAATTATGGACCATGACATTCAGAAAAATCGCTGTTTAGCACGCGTAACTCGATCGAATCTTCAAACTGACTCACATGATTGTATTTTGACAATTTTTTGTCATTCGGAACAGCATCAAATGAATGAAATACGTCCAAAGGTAAACGAAATCGTTATTTAGTTGTTAACATGTTTGAACGAACAGCTTGATCCCAACAAAGGATCAAAAATGATACTTTCCCAAGAGAATCAAAATTAATAATTGGCAAAAAAGCGCACGTTCTAATTTGAATAAGCGGCCCGATCGACTACGCCAGATGAATTTCCCTATAGTTGAAAAAAAAAAAAAAAAAATTGGCAAAAAATAAAAAAGAACTGCCACACACATCCGAATTTTACCGAGCCGTTCTGTCACAGATCGAGATTGATGAGAGTTAAAATTAATTTTGAAAGATTTTGTAACCTGTTGGAGCTTAAGGCTGGTAAATTTGGTTAGATTGCGGTTGAGTTTCAGTTTTTTCGGTTAACGTGTCACAACCAAATAATAATGTGAAATACAATGAGCTGCCGGCGGAAAATCACGAAAACCACTTGGGCATAGGATAAGGAAGCAAATTAGACCAGAAATACTTTGATTGCAAAAGTTAGAACGCTTGCCAAAAAAAAAAAGAAAAAGAGAAAAACAAAACAAGCAGAGCAAGTAAAAAAAAATAAAGGTTGAAATAAATATATTTTCTCACAAACATAGGTGACTGTAAGATCATGGCGTGACGTTATGATGTTTCCTTTTCCATTTCAAAAATTATCTTTTATTTTTAGAAGAGTTTCTTTTCACTTTCTGTCGTCCTGGGACTTATAAGACTTGAATCCGCTTGCGTTAGATTGAGCCATTCCTGGTTCTGATTGTGAGAACAGTCGGTTTTAAAATAATTTGGTCATCATCTTTGAATCAGGCGACAAGGAAAGTTCAGGCTTATGGGCATTTTAGGTGAGTATTCTGTTCATTAGAGGAATTTTAGTATTATTATTATTATTGTAATAATGAATCCCTGCGCAAGTTTTGAAGACGTACCACTTCCTGAGCGCGTGGGTTTGCTTTTGCAAGTCGCGGAAGTAGTTCATTTCCCTTTGATTTCGCCCTCCATGAATCAAATTAATAGGGAAAAACGAGGTACGGGAAAAGCAGCTACGTCACGACATGGGGCATTCGCACTAAGACAGAGTTCCAAACGCACGTGCGGTAACCTCTTCGGCGGAGTCTCATACCCTTCGTTCACTTCGGATGCTGGTTTTTTTCTGATGTGATTTTTTTAATGTTCTAACTCATTTAAATACACGAAAAAATTCACCTTGCAAAAGAAACTGCGAATACATGAAGCAGCTATTGAATTGAACATTTTTCTTGGCATCTTAGCAATCAGGGATCACTTTTTGGAAAATATTTGTTTCTGCCTACTTATCTCATCCGGCCTCCAACTTTCGTCTTATATTGCTTCAAATTGCTTTTTCTTCTTGTGATTCGTAAGGAAAACATTGGTAATTTTCTTTTCACCTGTAACTCCTGGTAAGGTTCAGATTCAGGGCTAAGCTATCATGTTAGTAATTTTTCTAATAATCGATTTTGATGACTGACGAAAATACAAAATCAAAACAAAATAGAGTTTTCATCCGAATCAACGCGTGCTCCATTGAAATTATGGACCATGGCCATAGGCGTACGGGCACCTTTGGACTTGGGGGGGGGGGGGGGCGGTGACTTCCTTGCCCGAAAAAAACACGCAATGCCTGAAAGGGTAAGGGTTGAAATCGGGATGCAAATGGAGACGTTCACCATTTCCAAGCTAATGAAACTGCTATAATTGAAAGCTGTCAATAACTGGTAGTTACCAGCTGGGTGACATCAGCTCGTATTATGTGATACTTTAATGCTGAGATATACGGATAGAATCGATCGAATAGAATGAACGAATTACTTAATGGAATTTGTGTAGTATTTACCTTTCACCTTGTTGACCTTGACCAGAAATACTTTAATTGCAAAAGTTAGAACGCTTGCGAAAAAAAAAAAAGAAAGACAAAATATGTAGAGCATGTAAAAAAACCATAGGTTGAAATAAATATATTGTCTTACAAACATGGTTGACTATGAGATCATGGTGTGACGTTTTGATGTTTCCTTTTCCATTTCAAAAATCATTGATCATTTTTAGAAGAGTTACTTTTTGCTTTCCGTCGCCTTGGGACTTTGAACTTCGTTTCTTATAATGTTGAATCCGCTTGCGTTAGATTGAGCCATTCCTGGTTCTGATTGTGAGGACAGTTAGTTTTAAAATAATTTGGTCATCATCTTTGGCTCAGGCGGCAAAGCAAGTTACTCATCGGTATTCTAAGTGAGCATTCTGTTCATGAAAGGAAGCGTTTTTTTTATTGTAATAATGAATCACTGCACAAGTTTCGAAGACATACCACTTCCTGAGCGTGTGAGTTAGAGGTCACTTTTGCAAGTCGCAATTTACCTTTGATTTCCCCGTCTATGAATCAAATTAATGGGGAAAAGCAAGATTCGGTGGCTTAGATAATGAAGCGACTAGACGAGGGATTAGCTAAATATTCGTTACATTTCTACTATGTGTCATGTGGGTGTGGGAAATTATTTCTAGTCACGCGAAACGGCTTCACATGAGTGACAAACGACGAAAGCAAAACAAGTCAGTTCGAAATTGCTGTTCAGTCGTTAGTACGTTTGAATAAACTGTTTAAAGCAAAAAAAAAATATATAGCTCCCAAAAATTTCCGAAAAACTACCAAGAAATGACAAACGGGTTAAAGAAATAGCTTTGGATTTTAGCGCGCAGCTCAGTAAAATAAGGTTGTCGAAAGACATTTAGGTTGTAGAAGAGTTTTATGGTCACAGACAGTGACATTCAAAATGAGGACACATTTTTCAAATGGAGGTATACAGTATGTCTTAGATTTTGGCTGGATTCTTGAATTTAAATCTTTCTTTGATACAAACTTGTAATTCCGCCGAGAATGTCAAAAATAAACGGTGTTCGTCCGCCTCTTTGACCCTTTTCTGAATAGGTATCGTGCGCGCCAACCCAGTTGTTCCTTATGGTTTTACATTGTTTGTACACCGTCCGGGTACTTCGATGCAAAGTTGCGACGTGATTTACTTGTTTGTATGTGTTGCGTCATCTTTTAAGGGCGCATACTTTTGCCGTTTCGTCAAGTATTTTCAAATTGGGCAACCTTAATTTCTTGCTATCTGCTTTGTAGTCGTTCATCCTGTCACACAATGCTTTCTGTCGTCACGAGTACGAAACTGGATTGAGCGGACTGCGTTCATTGGACATCATCAGTCTAATGATAGATGCAACAACCAATAATACAATATTCATTCTAAATTGATATTCTCCTGTCTGATTTTCATTAAAACAAAGAAAAAAGTACTCTGTATTAATTGTCTTTTTTGGAACTCTGAGGCCACTTTGGAAAATAATCTTATTTTGAACGACATACCAGATGAAAGGGAAAGAAAAAAAATCTCGGGCAGAGTTGTATTCTATCTCATTTTCGATCCAATCCTCTTCAAATAACGGCACACTAAGCTCAAATTTAATCACAATAGTTTTCCTGCGTCACTGTGCAACTTTTAATCCTTATATTTTGAAGGCTAACAAATTTTGAAATTATGCAGTGGCAGAGTACTACATTTCAGTTTCGTAAATGCGTCATAGAAACCGCACGATTGCACAGAGATACCTCCGAGAAAAATCCCCGTATCCTCGTGGAACTTGAGTCAATTTTTTTATACAAAAAGAGAATGCAAGAGTTTGCAAGTCAATCGCGCACTTTGGCTCATTGCCTAATTAACATTCCCTAGAACGAAAACATAAAGTGACGATTTCGCACTGAAAATTTATTTTTTCATTTCAGGAATCAGAAATCATCGAAAGAGTTTAATTTCCCATAAAGACGCTGTTGAGCTTCCTTTAATTTTGGTTCATGCCTTTTTGAGTCGCGTGCAAAGGGAGTTCAAACTCCTCTTGCTCTTGACGGAGTCTGCAGTTACAGCAGAATAGTTGAACGTTTTTGATCGAAGGGACAATTATTTCCAAAGTCATTTGTTTTGGTGAAGGCGGAAAACCGAATCAGGTGGGTTGAGTATTAAAAGCTATTATTTCACGTGATTGAATGTAATTGTCACCCGTTGAACCCGATTGCAAAAGAGTTAAAGAATGTTTTCCCGCCATAGTTTGACGTGACACGTAACGAAAGCATGTTCGGCTTTTTTTTAAAGTACTTTGTTTACAATGATACAGATTAAATTGGAAGGAAATTGTAGGAATTTCAATCATTGATATGCAAAAAGAAACATATTACAGACTGTAAAGGCGAAAAAATTAGGGTATCTTAAAAAGCTTAAATCCTTTTTTATTTTTCAGTTATGGTGGAAGAATTCACACCAGAGTCTGGAGTAAAACTTGATTGTGATGAAAGCACATCTAATGGTAAGAAAGAAAGAAAGAAACTGCTTACAAATTCAACAAATTCGACTGTTTAAATCACGAAATGTTGTACATTTTAGAAAAAGGTGACTTTCCCATGATTGGATAAACTTATCTTGACCCTAAGGGAGTGTTTGAAAGACCCTTTGCTGAGAATTTCTGCGTGCGTGGGAAATTAATGTCTCCTACCCCTAACCCTGCAGGAGACGGGGCCTACGGTTTATTCGTCCTTATCCGAGAAGACTAGAATATCTATCCATTTCTTGATATTATAGAAAGGTAGCAAATTCTCCCCAGTTATTTTAAGACCCTCGACCTCCCGCACAACAGTCCGGCGCTCTACCAATTGAGCTAACCAGGAGGCGGTCGTTCGACCAGCTTTTTTCGGCTTGATGGGTTTCTGTTTTATTACCATTAAATGCTTTTGTCATATATGTCTATTTAAGACACGACAGAGGATCTCCAAGATAAAGAGAGACTTGACGATGCCACTTTGAGAGGTAAGAATTTTCACTCTTTTTCAGGGAGGCAATATGACCAGGTGGCGAGCAAATGAGACTCAAAATTCAGCGGTTCCTACCTCATCAAGTCCAGTTTAACAAACGGCTACGTTAGTTCTTCTTTTGAAATTTAAGCCCGGTATGAAGTGGTACGAGGTCCATAATAAAACGTTTAACTTAAATATTAAATTACGAATTGATTGGTTTTTCTCAAATTCATATTTTCGCCTATTTCATTGTTTCCTCTTTATTATTAGAAACATTACGCTCGCTAGTTAAAAAATGAAATGAATATCACCCGCCAATAGAATGAAATAAACAGAAAATAGGAGACCGGGTAATGGCGTCCTGAATGGCTTGTTGTTATCATGGAGACAGTGTAGAGAGAACAAAGAAAGGCTTAAGGTCTGCTTCACTTTCCAATTAAACAACAGCATTCAAAATCGTACATATTGTAAGCGATTGTACTCCTTAGCTGATATTTTGTTTCAGGACCGTGATTTTCAACGTAATTACACTAATTTCATTGTGTTCTCGCAGAAAAATGTTCCACAGATCTCGTCAAAAACTGAGCTTGACAAATTAGAAATCTCCTCTGTTTTCTTTTTTTAATGATAAAAAATTGAAAAATTTTTCCTTAATCTCATTCATTGTTTAGCGAAAGCAAAACTTTATCTTGAGAAAGGCAACGAAGCTTACAAACAAGAAAAGGATTACACATGCGCAGTCCATTTTTACACGCAAGGCATTCATGTGGAGTGCAAAGATACCAGACTTATCGCCAAACTATACAGCAACAGGGCAACGGCTCATTTCCATCTGGGTAGGAATGTTTTTCCTAAATCATTTTTGCTTTCATTTAGGCTGTTATGACTGTGCCTCATGGTTACTATGTCTCCATGACCACATTAACGTACAATGTGGTCACAAGGATCACTTTAATTTATTCTTACAAATAACTGCTTTTTTAACTGAGTAAGCGTTTTTGTATTATTTCGATTTCCAAGGTTATTCATTAGATCTGATGATTTGGGGTAACTTGTTGATCCTCCTTGTTTAAGAATAGTTATTATATATAGTGACTAAAATGCTTGCGGAGTCCTCCCATATGCAAGTGACCAAGTGGTCAAGACTAAGAGTTGGAAAATCATGGGTTCTCCTTTAATCAATAAAAGGAAAAGGATAGATTGATTAGAAAAATTTTAGCCCGAAAAGTTCCATAGGGAAGAGTTTGAACAAAGGTCATTACTCATGCGGTTCAACATCATTGCAAGCTCTACTCTTTGTAGATTAGCATAGGACAGGGAGAGGTATTGGAAATTGAATGCCATTGATAAGGGCTGCTTTGTAAGCTAGCGGTCAACTCTCTCTTTGTAACATTCTATACATTAAACAACGAATTGAATTCCAATTATTTTTTCTAAGGATGTTACCGAGAAACACTGGCAGATGCAAAGCTCGCTCTTCGACTGGAGCCAACACTCATAAAATCTTTAGAACGGGGTAGGTTTAGCTCATGGCATGGTATACTCCCTGTATAAACGGGCGTATGTCTTAGACATTCGCAGACATTGCTGGAGATTAGAAAGGATAAGAATCTTATAAAAGGAAATTTTCTTTGTGAAGCGTGCCGGGTGTACCTGCACCATTGTTGAAATCCGTTGATTAAATCCATGGAATGGTACACGGGCGAATCAAATCAAAGACTCACAAAGCGCTCCCACAATGAGCAGGTTCTGGAACATTGAAAATACCCGACGCTCTATGGCTGGGTTTCTCCTTGTGTTGGTGCAGCATTTCTCAGTTAGTTTCCCTTGGTTGTGCCCTGATCCTCTATTGTTCTCTTGCTCTTAATACGAGGGCATGTGACTCTGTATCTGCCACGATATGATATCAGTAACACCGCTATTAAACCTAATTCGGTATTGTAAATACCTCAGTTCACATATCTGATGTTCATATATTCACTGTCATTGATTCATCTCTTCACGGGTTTTTTACAAACAAACAAGATGAGCAGCTCCCAGTTGGCTTGTTAGCTTAGTTGGTGGAGCTCTGCACCGGTATCGTAGAATTCATGGGTTCAAACACGTTACAAGCCTGAAACTTTTTCAGGCCTTATTTTCACTATTGCTTTCATATTCATTTCTTTGACCGCAGTTCGTATAATATGATTTTCATATATTCAGCTAGAGAATTCTTTTGATTAATGGTACGAAATAATGTGATTGTAATTAGAACTGTAATTACACCTTTGACCTCGAAAGCAGTCAAATGTTACATAACAAATAGTTCTTGTGATTTTAATTTTTTTTACTTTAGACGTTTGTTCAACTGAGTAAACTGACTCTTTGCCAACGCTTGCCTTTTAGGAGCCTCTGCTTGCGTAAAACTACAGCTGTTTGAAGAAGCAAAACTCTTTTGTATCGGGGGACGTATGGTATCCTAAAATAGAACTAATCAAGAGTTTCCACGATTTTTTCTTGTTTTTTGTCTTTTACGCCCACCAGAAAGGATTACTTTTTATGCTCTGTTCCCTTCAGCTTTGATGATAAATCAAAGAAGAAACTGAGAACGACTTAAGCTTTAAGATACCTAATTAGACATGTGAAATCAAAGCAAGAGGTAACTTAAATCTTGGATTAGTCAGAGCGCCATCGCTAACCGTCTCCCGAGTAATCAGCCCCAGGCTTTCATGTTCTTCAACCTTGACCTTCGTAAAGATTGATGGCAGCAGGAAATGCTTTGCAGAAGTTTTGACAAAATGTGCTGGTGAGTCACTGGAGGGCTCGCAAGAAACGCAAGAAAGCGAAGGAAAAATTCATAATCACACTACAGCGATACAAGTGAGTATTGAAAATATTATATATGGTTTTTTTCTATGGTAATGCATGTTGATCAAGGCACACGAAGCCAAATCAGAGGGAAAAATATCCTTACACCAGCTTCCAATTTCAAGGTTTTATGTGTTCAGTGCTAAGTTTTTTGTTCCACCACAGATTTGACTTGCTATACGTAATCACGTCTGTAAATATTAAAATTTGTAAATTGTGATGAAAATCAAATGAGCGACTGATTTACTCAAGTAACCTTAAAGAAAACAGATTTTCAGGTGAGCAGATGGTAGCTACCCAAAGGCTTTACCATTAGAGTCAGGAAAGCAACACAATTTTCATAAAACTAACAAAACGGTCATCCACCATGTTTACGAGTTTTGCATACCTCTCGCGTTGGCTTTGCATGCTGCTCTAAATAATGTAAATTTGTAACCTTAGGTGTTAAAAAGCCACCACATTCCCATGGACTACCTTGAGCTACTTCTATCAATCGCCATGGCAACGGGAGACAAAGCTCAAGAAAGTAAATTTTGTGAATTACTCGGTAATTCTTATGACAGATTACGACAATTTCAAACAGCCATCAAGTATTATGAACTTTTTCTAAACATCGCAAAAGAAGTGGGAGACAAAGAGGCAGAACATATAAGTTATTACAATCTTGGCATTGCTTATAAAAAATTAGGACAATTTCAAACAGCCATCAAGTATTATGAACTTTCTCTAAACATCGCCAAAGAAGTGGGAGACAAAGTGGCAGAAGGTAAAAGTTATTGCAATCTCGGCGGTGTTTATAATGAATTAGGACAATTTCAAACAGCCATCAAGTATTATGAACTTTTTCTAAACATCGCAAAAGAAGTGGGAGACAAAGAGGCAGAACATATAAGTTATTACAATCTTGGCATTGCTTATAAAAAATTAGGACAATTTCAAACAGCCATCAAGTATTATAAACTTTCTCGAAACATCGCCAAAGAAGTGGGAGACAAAGTGGCAGAAGGTAAAATTTCTTACAATCTCGGCGGTGTTTATAATGAATTAGGAAAATTTCAAACAGCCATTGAGTATCTAGAGCATGCCATAAACACGGCAAAAGAAGTGGGAGACAAAGAGGCAGAACATATAAGTTATTACAATCTTGGCATTGCTTATAAAAAATTAGGACAATTTCAAACAGCCATCAAGTATTATGAACTTTCTCTAAACATCGCCAAAGAAGTGGGAGACAAAGTGGCAGAAGGTAAAAGTTATTGCAATCTCGGCGGTGTTTATAATGAATTAGGACAATTTCAAACAGCCATTGAGTATCTAGATCATGCCATAAACACGGCAAAAGAAGTGGGAGACAAAGAGGCAGAGCATATAAGTTATTACAATCTTGGCATTGCTTATCATGACCTAGGACAATTTCAAACAGCCATCAAGTATTATGAACTTTCTCTAAACATCGCCAAAGAAGTGGGAGACAAAGAGGCAGAAGGAAAAAGTTATTGCAATCTCGGCGGTGTTTATAATAAATTAGGACAATTTCAAACAGCCATTGAGTATCTAGATCATGCCATAAACACGGCAAAAGAAGTGGGAGACAAAGAGGCAGAACGTTGTAGTTATTGCAATCTCGGCAATGCTTATCATGAACTAGCACAATTTCAAACAGCCATCATGTATCATGAACTTTGTATAAACATCGAAAAAGAAGTGGGAGACAAAGCTAGAGAAGGTAGAAGTTATAGCAATCTCGGCAATGCTTATAAAGATTTAGGACAATTGCAAACAGCCGTCAAGTATTATGAATTTTCTCTAAACATTGCAAAAGAAGTGGGAGACAAAGCTGGAGAACGTAGAATTTATTGCAATCTTGGCTATGGTTATAATGGATTAGGACATTTTCAAACAGCCATTGAGTATCTAGATCATGCCATAAACACGGCAAAAGAAGTGGGAGACAAAGAAGTAGAAGGTAAAAGTTATTGCAATATCGGCGGAGCCTATCTAAGTTTAGGAGAATTTCAAACAGCAATCAAGTATTATGAACTTTCTCTAAACATCGACAAAGAAGTGGGAAACAAAGCTGAAGAAGGTATAGCTTATTGCAACCTCGGCAATGCTTATCAAGTTTTAGGACAATTTCAAACAGCCATCGAGTACTATGAACTTTCTCTAAAAATCGCAAAAGAAATGGAAAAAAAAATGCTAGAAATTAGCATTTATGGCAGTCTCGGCAGTACTTATAGCACATTAGGACAATTTCAAACAGCCATCAAGCATTATGAACTTTCTCTAAACATCGCAAAAGAAGTTGAAGACAAAGCTGGAGAAGGAAAAACCTTAAGCGATCTCGGCGTTGTTTACCAAGGGTTACGACAATTTCAAACAGCCATCGAGTGTTATGAACTTTCTCTACAAATCGCAAAAGGAGTGGGAGACAGAGCTATAGAAGGTACGATTAATTGCAATCTCGGCATATCAAATTTTTGTTTAGGAAATTCTGAAACAGCCGTCGAGTACTTTGTACGCGCTTCAAATATTACAAAAGAAGTGGGGGATAAACTTTCAGCAGCTAAATCATTTCGTGGTCTTGGTGAAACTCTGTGTACCAGAGGAAATTTCCATGAGGCTTTCAATTGCTTTCACTCTAGTTTACTTCTGCTTCACGAGATCAGGGCGAATTTTCAATCTAAAGAGGAGTGGAAGATTAGCTTCCGTAATTCGAGTGTAGATTTATATACTCCATTGTGGAAGCTACATTTATATCTAGGTGAAGAGGTTCTGGCTCTTCACACCGCTGAACAAGGTCGTGCAGAGGCTCTGAGAGATCTCCTAGAATTAAAATATGGGTATGAACAAGAACACTGCCAGTCATTCTCTCCAAAGAAATCTACAATTACCCTCTTGAGTTGCCTTCCACCAAATACAGTCTTTATAGCAGTTGACCATGGAACTATTTTCTACTGGGTTGTTCAGAATGGCAAAGAAGTGACATTAAGAGAAAACCGAGTTAATAATTATATTTCAAAAGAGGAGCTCACCATTTTCATTGAGACTGTTCTCGGAAAACTTGGAATGAAAGTTCATGTCAAAGATGAAGGCCGTTCGTACTTTGAGACGTGCGATCAAAGAGGCAAAAACGATTTTCTTTTCAGTAATCCTTCCCAGGAAGACATATTGAAGAAACTTTACGAGATCGTCATTGCCCCAATCGCAGATCTCGTGGAAGGAAATGAGATCTGCTTGGCTCCCGAAGGTCCATTGTGGTTGGTCCCCTATGCTGCATTGCTGGACTCCGAATTAAAACATCTGTGCGACTCTCTCCGGATCCGAATGATTCCATCCCTGACCGCTTTGAAATTGATCAATGATTGCCCAGCAGACTTCCACTGTAAGACGGGCGCGCTGCTCGTTGGTGATCCATATTTGGGTGAAGTTCTTTACAAGAATAGGAAGCTGCCTGAGTTACAAGGCGCAAGAAAAGAAGTCAAGATGATTGGAGATATCCTAGGAACTGATCCCCTTGTTGGAGAAAACGCGACAAAAATGGAAGTGATGAAGCGACTCTCCTCCGTCACCTTAGTGCACATTGCAGCGCATGGTCGATTAGGATCAGGTGAGATCTTTTTGGCGCCAAACCCCACACGGATTAATTAACAACCTGAAGAGAGAGATTACTTACTGACCATGAAAGATGTGTCACAAGCTAAGCTACGAGCAAGACTGGTCGTGCTAAGTTGCTGTCACAGCGCAACGGGGACAATAATGGCTGAGGGTGTGGTTGGCATCGCGCGAGCTTTCATGGGTGCGGGTGCTCGCTCTGTGTTGGTGTCACTGTGGGCGCTTGGTGACGAGGCTACTCTGGAGTTCATGAAACACTTCTATGGAGAACTTTTACAAGGAAAGAAAGCCAGTGAAAGTCTACATCGAGCCATGGAATGCATGAAAAAGTCTGAAAAATACAAGGACATGATGTTTTGGGCCCCATTCGTCCTTCTTGGTGATGATGTGACATTGGAATTAACCAAAAATGACACCGTCTAATTTCGCAGTAAGTGAACTCTGACATAAAATTATTGCTGATACGATAGAGATTGAGATTATCACACATAAATGCATGCTTTCGTTTCATGATTCTACAAATGAACATATGAGACGTTCTTGGAAAGGGAATGTCTTGAAATCAAGCATTGCCAACTCAGAATTAAAACGAATTTTTTCCTCAACCGAGTACCGAGTTCACTTGTAGTGAATATGTAGTCAGCTTTTGCCAGTAAACCTAAAGATGGAGAGATGAAGATGAATTTGACGCTATTAAAACCGTCTTTACTGAGTAAGTAGAAATTATCATGGCACTTTCGTAATTATTTTAACATTGGTGGCTCTTTAATCTTTCCCCGTAGATGCAGACCAGGACCAATTCAGCATGGTTGACTAATTTGACTGCGCGTTTTATCTACCTCCTTGACGAAGTATTTTGAGTTATCTTCAGAAGAAAGACACAAGGACTATAGTGCTACTTAAATGATTAAGATAAAAGCAATTTTAAGATAAAAGCATGCCCAGGAAAGGAGAATTCAGTTAACAATCCTAAGAAGTAAATTGACATTCCTAAAAATCACAGCGCCATTTTGGTTAATAATGAGGTGGTTTTTCAGGAAATGTACGGTATTCGCGCAATTTTTCGCGTGTTCGTTTCGAGACAAGTTTTTTGATAATCTGATTTCAGTTTATTTTATATCACTGATGACGTCTGAAGAGGCATTCTACGCAAGAATCAACTAAACTTTGTTTGAAATTTTTGACCCTCGTGCCAATTGAAATATTTCATACAGTTAGGTATGGAAACATGTTAAAAATGGCTTAATCAGTTTACTTTTATGTTTCAACGCTGAATAAGCGTTCCGCCATGGACACAAAAACTCGAGATAATTACGGTAATTAAACGATTATTTTAATAACCGATGGCATTCTTGTGTCGAAGAAGTTACGAGTCTTCATCCACCCTTTTAACAGTGCTCTTTTTTCTTCGATCGGAGCTGATCTTATTTATATAATTTCCCAACTTGGAAATACAGGTTAATTTGTACAAATTTCCAAAGTCAAGTTTTCTTTTTCCTTAAAACTCAACTAACGTTTTCCCTTCACCTCCCTGGTTCAAACTAAGATAACATTAGCCTCGGACGTCAGTGATTACACAACGTTTCGTGTGTCTTGCTCGCTACAAGGCAAAAAACATCTTTCTATATTACTTTACCGAGCTCAAAACTTACCATCTTTTTTATTCTTTACAAAACATGACGTCATCGACATTGCCGATGCCAACAGTATGCAGGACCCGTGTCATATAGATATATATATATATATCTATATATATTCGGGCGAAGCTCATCACCTTAGTTGTGATTTGAGCACTCTCGCATGGCAACATGCCTGCACTTGGTCCCACAAGTGTAGCGCCCAGGCAATGGTTTATTCCAGAGCTTGGCCCAGTGTCTGCACTGCACTGATGAGACCCACATAGGTCGAAACAGTGTGCACTGTCTGCAGTTATATATATATATATATATATATAA